AGTATTATTAAAGTATTATTAAATCCTATTATTGATGGTGAGGAGTATACTTTGTTGCCAGAATTTCTGGATGGTGTCTGCTTTGTTGCTTTGCTCTTCTGTCTCTGACAATTTTGTGAATGTGAAATCCTAGAGAAAGCTAGATGTCTGTAGTGAGATGTCTTGCTTAGGATATTTGTCACACAGACAATAGTAACACTTCAGTGAGTAGTCTCTGGAAACTTCACTGGTGGTTGAAATGTATTTCAGAGACTTATCATTAGTTTTCTTTTGGCAGAAAGTAAATGAAGGGTTTTTATTTTTTTCTCTTTTCTTTAAAGCTTTTTGTTTGCTGTATACAGCCTTTAGGGAGAACTGCAACATTTTAAAGTTGAAGCGTCTCAAGCTACATTAATTCCACAACGTGATCTTGATCAGCTGGCTCTTTGTGCACTTACGTGCTATTTGTGCACAAAATACAAGTAGAACTATACCTATCCTGTTGTTGGTATTACTGAGATGAGTAGTGAGACTCCTACTGTGTTAAATAAATGTAAAACTGGATAACCTATACAGGCACCCCAACACTGCCAACAAGCAATGCAAGTGAATGCAGTGTAAGTACTGTGCTTTGTCTATCTTGTCTATGTAGCAAAACAGAACAGAGAGCAGTGTGCTTTGTTTGCCCCATACCCAGGTGCTCATTCCAGCTGCAGTATTCATTGGACTTCACAATGATGACTGCTGCGGGTGCTTTGGCCATAAGAACTGTGGGAAAAGCTGTGCGGTAAGCGAGCCTTCACACTGCAGCCCCAGACAGCCCTCAGGACGCTGAGAAGACTGTGCTCAACTCTCATGTCTGTGTTTGCCCTGCAGATGCTGTCCTCAGTTCTGGCAGCCTGTGTTGGGATCCTTGGCTCTGGGTACTGTATAATCATTTCAGCACTGGGCTTGTCTCAGGGACCATATTGTTTTACTCGTGTAGAAAGAAACTGGATCTATCCTTTCACTGAATCCTCTGGAGGGTAAGTTGTCTGTTTGTCCGTGCATTACATCTTTCTCCATGCACATACGGTGTTTGTTCTTTTCCTGGACCTTGCAGCAATATTCAGTAACAACGTACCAACATCCATCCATAAGTTTTTGCTCCTTATTCGCTAGCTAAACAGATGGGATCAGAATTGCTCACACTGCTGGAGTTTAAAACACAATAAATTTAAATCCCTCAGTTTTACGTGTCTGAATATGCTGATTAGTTGTGACATTAAGTATCTGAAGGATGTGCAAAATGGTGCTCTTAATACAAGCTGATAAAGGATACTTGGAAGTAATTGAATGATGCTGTTAATAAAATACTGTCTTGTATAGGTCTCTTTCTCTTAATATATGCAGGCAAATATATCTGTGTACTACATACAGTTCATGTGAGCATATGATGTACTCTTTTAGGACTTTGAGGGAACCTTGAGCCACATCAAGATCCTTTGCAGCAGAGATTTGGAATTGTACATTTTAGTAGCATCCCTTATGAGAAGAGGCATTCCTTCTTCCCCACCTCTCTCAACTTATGGATGAATATAGAAGAGCTGAATTAATTCCTTGCTCATGGCTCATCAGTGCTTGTGTTCTAGCAAAATGGAAGAGAAGGAGCTGCTGGAATCTTTTCCAGTTCTCCTCTGAATTTATTCTATGTGTGACTAGTGCAGATTAGGCATGTGAAGGCCCAGAGGCAACAGCACAAAAAATGAAGTGACCCACTGGCTTCAAATTAGTAACTGCTGCCTTTAAACGCCCTATCCTGGAAAATTCTGTTTTTTTGTATCTTATTTTGTATCTTTGTATCTTTGTTTTTTTGTATCTTATTTTGATCAGTAATAGAAGATTTTGCCTTTCTAAATCAGATGTTTTAATGGAAATTAAGACTTAGCCAAAATGTGTGATTCATAGTTCAACGTGTACTCAAACAGAGCAGCATTTGCATGGAATGAGCCCTTACATTTTGTATTCCCGCTTAGAGTGATTATCCTTAATGCAATTGCATACCAGATGAAGTTTATTTCTATTGTATTGTCAGCATCCTAATCTGACACAATTTTACTATACTTTCATTTGACGCGTACAGGTACTTGTTGGATTATGATGAGTGGGCTAAATGTCAAGAACCTCAAAACATCGTGCAGTGGAATGTCACTCTCTTTTCCATTCTCTTGGTCTTGGGAGGAATAGAGTTCATCCTGTGCTCCATACAGGTAGTCAATGGTATTCTTGGAGGAGTGTGTAGACTGTGCTGCGGCAGTGATGAGGTAAGCCATTTTTTCAGCTAGTAGAGAGTTAAAGAGTATTGTTACTGATAGCACTGCAGGGGCTTAGCAGCTGTTTTTCTGGCATTCTTAAGCAGCAATGAGTGTACAATTTGCATTTTTTAATGTGACCCTGTTGTGTTCAGCATTTTCATGTAGTATTTGACTACATGCATTTAGCTATTTGCTCAGCTGTCTGCAGTGAAGTTAGTCTTCATGTGAACTGAAAGGGCCGCGTGTACACTGTGGTATATATGGTCATCAGCACTGTGTAGGTGATACAACAAAAATACGTATCTGAGACTGGCAAGGATCTTTGTTGTAGCCTAAGCCATTATTGCAGTGTGACAGAGTTTTGTGGCAGGCTGTTTCCTCTAGCTGTATTACTTTAGCCTCATAGTTTGCTCACAATAGCAGATAGACTACTGAGAATATGTGTGTCATTTGTAATAAAAACTGCAGCAAAAACCTTGCTTAGTAGATGTGGTGTAAGAGAAGGAATTAAACTGCACATACATAGTAAAGCTGACAGACAAATCTGAAGGACTTCTTGAAGGTTTGCTTTTATACATTTTTGTTTTTTATGAGTGAGAAAGGGGAAAATCCTCTAGTTTCTTTAGCATCTTGTTAGACACTTTGAGACTTCTGTTAAAATCAGTCTGTAGTGGAAATGCTGGGTCACAGCTTGAAGCAGTGATGGAGCACCTGGTGAGAAGGCAGGGCCAGCCCAGAGGATCTCAGGTGCATGCAATGTACTGAGTGACTGGAAGGGCTGGAGCCAGGATCCATCCCTTCCCAGACTTCATCTAGGGTTGGCAGTGGAGCTGAGGGTATCTCTTGCTGGAGATGCCTGTATCCCTGAGGCCTTCTGAGGGTAAGCAATTTTTTTTCATTTGTTTCTGTGCCCACAGCTGCTGCATTTGGGCTCTTCCTCAGTTACTGCAGCATAGGACTTTGCTGCTCCATTGTTGTTGCTGTGCTTTCCACCACATTGTAGCATTGCAGCCTCATAGATGTAGTGTTGGAATTGCCTTATAGTATGAAAGTGATATGATTTATAACGTGTGCATGTTATGGCCCAGAGCATTTCGCATTTTGATTTGATGTGGTTGAATGCTGTGGCACTTTGAAAGCATTACTGTCTTCTACTTCCTATCTTCTGTGCTGTTACTGTTTACAATGCTGTGCTATGGCTCTCTAGATCTGCTTGGGTTAATTGTAGCTCTTACAGTTAGATACAATATTAGTGTTCTTCCTCTTAATGCGTGTTTGTTTCTTTTTGTTTCCCTCACAGACACTTTCTTGCTAGAAAACAAGAAAACGGGTTGAAGTTGGTGTATATGCGTGGTGCGTTGAGTATCCACTGTTGTTTTTTGGTTTCTTAAATGTTGTATGTATACTGAAGTGCACACTTTGTTATCAAAGTATATAGCGACCACCAATTTAACTGACTTAGGGCTCTGTTTTTGAATTCATATCCATGTTTTCCATTTTCCACTGACCTGCCTGCATCTGAAGATAAAATGAGCTGCTTTGGTTCATTTCATAGACAATTGGGATCAATAAAGTTTTTTTTCTTTTTTTCCTTTTTTGTACTCACACGACAGCTCTGTGCTTCAGGCTGCTTTCCCAATAAAGTTGCATTTTTCATTCTGATGTTGAAACGAACGTGAACTGTAGTCTGCTCTGGAAATAAATTAATTCTCACTGGAGCAACAAATAAAGCAACAGTAAAATATGGATGACCAAGAGCAACAATGAACTTCTGCTTTTAAAGAACTGGAAAAGTATTAGGATATTAAAGTGTGGATTTCTCTGAGCTGCTCCTGTCTCAAGTACGGGTTTGTATTAAAATTACCCAGCAACTGTCAGTGTTTCTGCCTGTGCTGAAGCTGTTTTCTTGATCCTAGAGGAAGAGATAATGGTGGCATAGAACATAAATATGAAACTGAAGAGGAACTTCTTTACTTCGGGGGTGACAGAGTACTGGAACAAGTTGTCTGAAGAAGTGGTGGAGTCGTCTCCTCTGGAGATGTTCAGAACTCCCCTGAGAGCTTTCTTGTGAAACCTACTGTAGGGAGCCTGCTTTGAAAGGGGGGTTAGTCTGAATAACCTGTAGAAGTCCTTGCCAACCCTGTGATTCTTTGAAGTTACAACCTCCTTTTTCTACTCAGCACATACTGTCAGAGTAAGAGATGCTTCAGTCTTCAAACTCCTTTACTCACAAGGACTGCTTACCTCCTGACTACCTAGTCTTGTAACAAAAAAGCCATGGGTCTGGGTTCTTGTTTCCAGCCTGCCCCCAGGCAGGGCAATATAGTTCAAATTCAGATCAGCAGCACTAGACTAATCTGAAATACAGATTTTTTTTTTATTATTTTTTTTTAAATTTAAATTAAATTTTTTTAATTTTTTAAATTTAAATTAAAAATTACATTTCACCAACAAGGAACCTGGACCCTGTATCCAAAGACCCTGTGCAAGAGTCTGAAGTTTATCTTGTAGCATATTGCAGCAAATGTTTTACCCCATAATAAAGTAAACCTGTATGATACGCTGCTAATAGCATTAATGAGAAGGTCAGTATGCTGCTGGGAGTGGCATTTTATAAGAAAGAACAAAACATGACGTTGGTTTAAAAGAAAATGAGAGTGACAACTATTACTTCTCCACTTTTGGAATCTAGCAGATAATGTCTTATTTGAAAATGGACAAGTTAATTTATGTTTGTGGGGAAAAAGAATTTCCCACAGGTGTCAGTGCATAGTTAGTCCTACTTTTAACTAGGAGAGTGGTCTTTAAAAGTAGCCGGAAACAAGGTTTTTCCTCACTCTCTCCTCCTGTCCAAGTCTGTCACCTACAGATGTGTCTCTGTTAAAGGAAGTTAACTGAAAATGGGAAATTGCACACACAGGTCTATGGCAGCAAAAAGACATCGAAAAAACAACCCCTCAATAGGAGGAATGCTGAGTTTCTAAACACAAATGGGTAGTTCTTGCAATACCACTCATTCATACACAAAGTATGCAGAATTAGGTGAAGGCACGCTTTAGTATAGTATAGATTCTGCATGCTGTATTTATCCTTGTCTTGCTCTGCTGTGGCAAAGAAGATGTGCATGTACGTGCACTCAGTTCCTTGTTGCTGTGCAGTGTGATGTCTTTGTATATGAAAAAGCACTTTGAAAGAGGGTTTGCAAGGTTAAATTTGGTATGAAATCAAGGATAGGAGGAAGAGGACAAAATATGATGGAATATGGTATAATATGGTATAATTCCCAGAAAGCTTAAAGATTTTACCTGTACACTTGCATAGTTATTACTTGTCTTTCTGATACACATAACTAACTAGGGAACTGAAACTAGGTTAGGCACGCCAATGAACAGAATGATTAGGGGAGAGTTTCGAACTAAAACTGTGTAGCACCACTAATGTCACCTCTCGGTTTTTATGTTGCTGTTGTTAAAATAAGCTGCTTAAATTCCTTCAGTGCCTAATGGCTGACTTTGGGGAGTTTTATTAGTTACATTGTAGAAAAGCAGTTGTTTTGGGTTGGATTCATCTGGGTTAACGGAGATGAATCATCCAAAGTCAACAAAGGGTTTTCAGTAATGAGCTCTGCATGGACTCATGGACGTTGGCAAGCAACAGGAATCCAGCTTTTGCAGCACTTAAGATATTTGAAAAACTAATTGCCAGGCTTGCTTAATACTTGGTGTAAAATGGTGGTGTCCTGTTCTGGCAGTATGTGTGGCAGCAAAACACTCTTTGATGTGACATTTGCAGAGCTCAGTTTAAATATGAAGTGAGTCATGTGGTGTGTTGGCACACTAGAATGGATGCTATTTCAGGTGTCGTTTTCTTAGTGAGTTTCTTCTAAACAGAGCAGATCATTATGGGAAGTTGCCCACTCAGTAATAATTCAGGCCTTTGCTTTTAGGAACAAAAAAAAAAAAAAGAAAACATTTTGACTTACTAAATGAATTATGAGTCTAGTAATAAAAATCAATCCTGGGTTCTGATGTGCCTGCTTTTAATTCAGCTGTTTTCCATTACCGGAAGGAGCGGTACTGATACCACATCTGTGAGTGTGCTGGAGAAGGTTTGTCACTGGTTCCAGTTAGAGGGGGGGGCTTGAAAATGTGCCCCTGGTGATCAGGGAATAAAGAGGAAATATGAGAAGAGCTTCAGTGTAACATCTGAAGGCTTTAAAGTGAATCTCTTGGGAGAAAAAAAGTGAGAAAAGGAGAGTCACAGCAGAAAATGGATAGGAAATAAAATGGTGCAGTTGCGTGAGTGCCACCATGCCCATTTCCTTGGGAAATATATAAAAAATGACATCGTTGATTCTAAAAGATCCCCCCCTTATTTTTTTCTGTAATGTTGAACTTCCTATTAAGTAAACCTTAAGCTTGATCTTTAATTACTTTTCTGATAACTTACTAGGGCAAGAGAAGAAGATATGTGTTGTGCTTTGACATTCAAACAGCGCTGGCTCTGCTGTACTGGAATGGATGCTTAGTTGCATGGGGCTGTCAGAACAATGACAAATAAAAATGAGGAAAGTGCCTGGCTCCTGCTTCCCACAGTGCAGAGCCACAGATGCATTTCAGAAAGCAGCCAGACCTCTTGTCATGTACTTAGGTCAGATCTGTAGCCATACATGCTCAAATGTAAGTTTAGAATAAAACTTTGCACAATAGCAGGATTTATCTCATCAAACAGTTCATCATTCTGCTGAAAATAATAAAGAAATGTGATTATATCTGCCTGGCAGTTTCTAGCTGGTGTTGCTTGGACTTCTGTGTGCCCTGTGTTGTGCTCAAAACTCAAGTTAGTGTTTCTGAAGGGATACCTCATGTCAGCAGCCAGTGCTGGGCTTCATGTGAGCTCTCGTGTGCAGTCAAGTGTTGAAGGGACCTCTGTTTCCTTTAGATTTGTGTTGCTACAATTTTCTAATAGTAATAGCTTAGGCCAATATCTGTGTGAACTTTGAGGCAATGTGGACTTTCTGTGCAGATGTTTGACATCTGTCAAACAGCCCATGTAAGGTCAAATTATCGCTACAGTAATGATGAACCATTTGCCTCATGCTGCAGAACAGCTGCACAGGAATCTATTTCAACAAGAGGAGTGTTTCTAAGCGGTCACTAGGAAGTGAGATTTTTTTATGTTCCTTCCTGAGTCTAACTTGTAGACGTATTTAATTAGGGAGATCGTTAAGGAGGACCTTTGAGAAGGGAAACTGCTACTTAAAGACATGTTTAGAAAGGATAGGTAGTTTAGGCAGCAGAATTTGTCTGTTCTTCTACCTACAATTAAGCAGCGGAGTCATATGAAGTGACTGAATCAAACAGGAGGTCAGAATACTTTTTGTATTTTAAACCTTGTAATCTTTTGTTAGCTTAGAAGAGCAAAACTTCTAGTATTCTTGAGAGATGGCTTTAGAAACATGTGGAAGCTGTTTGAGCTGTCTGCTGGTCCCTCTTGCACTTTGGAGCATTGTTGTTAATGTCCTTTTATATTTCCCTAATGGGAATGCTTCATATGTTGCTAGTTACCAGCATCCCAACTATGTGTGGTATTTTGAAGGCATCTGTTTCTCAGGTGTGATGGTAAGTGCTGATTTTATGGATCTTTAATTATTTGCAGTAGAATTGCATGTCATATTCAGTTACTGTGCAGTGAGATAATTACACTTCCAAAGGAAGTATGGATTTCTTTCTTGCAACAGTATGGGAAAAACTTGATCAAGCTGAAGAAATTGTGAATATATTGAATGACATGCTGTGTATGCTGCTTTATTTCATACATGTGATTTTGCAAGGCAAATTTATTTTTCCCGTTGGCTTTTTGTTCATGTTTAACTTGGACTCGTGTTACTGAGTCATGCGCTATTTTGATTTGTTCTTTTATGGACGTAGAATTAAAGCTCTTTAGCAAGGCAAAGCAAAAATCTGTAAAAGCCTATCATAACTGTCTGTAGGTTTTTAAGCTCTGTATACAGAGGAGTGGTTCACAGTGTCACTGTTATTAGGCTAAATATAGAGAATTGTCTCACTGCGACTGGTGTAGGTGTATTTTTCCCATTACGTTTGTAATATGCTCATCTGCAGTAATAATGTGGTGTTGGCTACTGCTCGTGCTGTTCACCAGGCTCGTAAAGATCTGTAGCCTCAGGAAAAGAAAGCAGTAAAGTAATAAGAGTGTGAACAAAAATCAGTGTTAGAAAAGGGCAAATGTGCAATGATTTATGTGTTTTTATGATGTTGCTGAACTGGGAGAGATACAAAAACTTTATTTTTGTAATTGAATATTCTTCCTAAAACAGAAGAAATCCCAACTTTCTGAGCACAGGGAGAAGGGTATCACACGAAGAATTTTAATGGAGAAACATATATGGAAAATTTACCAGAAAAAAAGTTAACTGCAAACTACCTTCATACTTTGAAACATTTTTAGCCTGCGGATCTTTAACAATTTATTACTTGCATGTATATTTTCCTGTTGCAAACAGGGCAGTATGTTAAAGCAGTTTGCTTGGAGGGGTGTCCAGTACACCTGGAATCAACTGCCCCTGGTGTGGAAATGTAGTTCTGCCATTTGGCATGGGCTGATTCAGGCTGCATTGGAGCAGGGAGAAGCTCTTGAGCACCTGCAATGCATTAATTTAAATGTATTGGAAGAGAAATCATTTCACACGGGTCTCTGAGCAACATCAAGCTTTTGAACAAATAACACAGGAGATAATGATGTAGCCTTAGGGCTAGTCTGGACAGGACAAGATGTAAAAAAAAAACAAGTATGTTCTACACTGCAGCAGGGGAGAGTGGTCCCACTCAGAGCCTCTGACAGAAAGCCCCAGGGGAGACTCGAGGTCACTCGGAAGGGTTTTGGAGTTGAGGATACAGAGGATCCAAGGCTCACTGAAAGAGAGATATTGGTAGCATATGAAGGGGTTCCAGCTGCTTCAGAAGTGATTGGTACTGAAACACATCTCCTAGCTGTGAGAGAACAGTGCTAGACTTTAGCCAGCATGTTCTGCTAGAGCTCATCCCAGCAGTAAAAGTGCAAATGTCAGCAAAGCTTCAGGTGGCTCATCTTATGTATTTCCGAACAATGATTTACCTGAAGTGCTGCTATGACTGATAACCACTGTATTTTGGAATTAGCTCTAAGCTCTTTTTTTCTTGCAGTTTTTTACTAACAGCCCTTTCAAGTGACAAATCCAGGGCTTTCTTTGTTTTTCCAAACCGTTTCAGAAACACTGCTCGTTTTTCCTTATTCAAAGGAATGCCTTTCTGAGTGGCAGCTTGTGATTCTGGAGCCCAAATCTTATTTATTAAACTTCTAGTATCAGGTTTAAATAATCCAGTAAGCAAATGGAAGTTCACCATACTACTGACTTCTGTTTTTTTTTTTTAAGCATGTGTTGGTAAGGAAGAGAATTTGCCTCACTACAGCTGCAGTCACTCACTGTGTTCCCTTACAGATTCTTCTGTTGGCAATAATTCTCATAGCACTGGAGTGTAATGCATTCTATCGGTGCTGCCGAAGTGAGAGCTGTAACAAAACCTACAGAGTGAGTCTATCTTTTATTTTTGCTTGTCTCTGGCATTTGTTCTACATGGCTTCCTCCTCCTGTGTCTCTAGTACATCCTTCTCCTCTGCTCTGGTTCTGCTGCTTTTCACAGAGAAGGATTCTGAGTCAGGTTGAGAGGTCGCAGAAAGGGCAGCTCTTTCCTGTTGATGCATATTCAGGATGGAAAAAAATCTTTGTAGAGTGAAACAAGATAAAATAAGAAGGCTGGAGTGTTCTAACAGAGTTCTCCATCTAAATAGTTTCATCTCCTTGTGTTTTTTTTTGTTGTTTTTTTTTCCCAGTACCGACTCAATAAGCACTATCTGGAATGCAAACATATTAAATATGCACTTATATTCCTCTTGCATTCTGGGATACAGTTTTGTAGGAATGTGAGTTTAAAAAACATCAGTACTTAACTGATATTATGGAACTGCCTTACACAAACAGAGTAAAGATAGAGTTTATGCTTACTGATTATTGCCTAGTATTTTTCTCTCAGTAGTGAAGACTGGGACAACCACATGTGAAATTCAACCCCAAAGAAGTAGATTGGCAAGGACAGTGAATACACATGATGCAGAGACTGCTCTCATACAGGAATATTTTTCTCTCTTCAGAGTTTTATTTCAATTGTGCTAGCCATGCTTGGAGTTGCTTTCTCTGGATACAGTTGTATCATTTTTACCTTGGGATTGATCCAAGGCCCTTTCTGCAATTCATCCAATGGATGGGATTACATCTTCAAAGATACTGTTGGAGGGTAAGAAACATCAGTTTTAACTAGTTTATTCTACTAATTTTCTCAGGGCTTTACAAAAGATGGCACAGTCTCTTGAGCACAAAACCTATACTGTAAGACATTTTTAAGTTGTTCAGTGAGCAACAGCATCTTCAAAGAAAGCTATTTGCCTCCTAATGATAAATTCTAAAGGTAAGAATCTTTGTACTGATCAGACCTGGAGGTCTGTAGAGACAAGCAGACTTTATCTGGTGATGATCACAACTTTGTGTAGCAAAGAATAAAAGATTAGATGCGCTGTAGACGTATACTTTCATAATATTCTCTCAAATTCCTCAAGTTCTTCATTCAAAGATTATGAATGTCGTTTTAATATTTAATAACTCAGGAGGTTTCCCTTTAACACCTAAACTCAATGAAGTCTGCAGTTTGATCATTGGAAGGTTATGCATACTGCTGCAACATCTCATAAAATACTTGAGCAAAGTGCTGTTGGTGTTTTGGACTACGGTAGCTTGAAACATTTCATAAGATCAATAATGTGGGGATGCTTCCACAAGATTTTACATTATCCCTTTAAAAAAATCAAAGTTTTACAAGACTTGGATTTTTCACAGCGTATGATACCAGGCTCTTCCACTTGCATGTGAATGTGCTGAGGATTAAATTTGTCAGTGAATCATAGGCACATCTCTTCAGCATAAACAGGAGTAGTTCCTATAAAATAGATATTGCCATCTCTGATTGAAATGGCTCTCTTTTAACATCCTGAAATGCATCCTGCAGTCTCTGTTATGTATTGCCAGCCTTACCATCCCATTTGAAAATACATGTGCATAAAATGGAAGCTTGATTTTAACTTAAAAGGCCAGGTGCTGAACAATGTCCTCAAAATGATGGATGTTTAGAAAATAACCAACAAAGCTTCTTGCAATGAACCGCCAGGCCATAGCATGTCTCAGTTAAAAAGGCACATAACATTCCTCAAGTGTGCAGAATGTGGCTCTGGAAGTTGCATATGGTGACACACCTCAGCTCTGCCACACAGGCTGCATCCACTGGTCAGAATTTTTGGATGTTCCTACTCTTTGTCATCTAGACATAATCAAAAGCTGAAATTAAATCAGGGAAGGAAGTCCCTTCTTTAGACTTGGCTTCTTCCTTTGCGGGGAGGGGGGAAAGCAACATCTCTCTTAACATTTGGGTGTCTTACTGGGAAGTTAATGAAGCAGTTGAGGAACCCAAGTCTTTATTCAGCTGAGTTTGGTAAACTTATCTGGGACTTACTCTACTGTAATGAAAGACCAGCCCTAAACTTCAAGCATATAAGGCATAGTATGGGTTTTCTATATAGTAGAGGTAAAATAATGTGTATTTAAATTTGATTGGAAAAGTCAATTTAATTTGCCTCACATTGCTTTTTCTCTGATAGATACCTCACAGATTACTCTGCTTGGTCTCAATGTGCTGAACCTGCTAATGCTGTGGAATGGACCATCATTTTACTCTCTATTCTGATGACTCTTAGTGGACTGCAGTTGATCATCTGTTTTCTTAAAGTGGCTGCTGAGCTGAAACGTACACTGTGTGGGACCTATTCTGTTTTTATTCAGGTAACAAAGGACCTGAGGTCATTTCTTCAGAATCTTGAAGGTCAGTTTAGCTTCAGCAGTTTCTCCCAGTAGATGACTTTCCCTCTTGGTTTATGCATTCTCTTTGCTACTGCATATTTATTAGCAGAAGATATGTGCTGATAGTAAATCTGCTGCATCCTAGCCATCTGCCATTCAAGGATGGCTGACTGCTCACTCTTGCCGTTAGTGCTATGATTAATGAAAAAACGAGGATTTTACTCCCATGTCAGCAAAAGCTTCTGTGCAACCTTCTCCTGTCATTCATTTGTGTGCATTAAGAGTTTAGGTTAGGAGATGAATGTTTAAGTCAAACAAGATGTATGTTAGCTTGAGCTGGAAGAGAAAGAAAGTAACCGACAGGCCTTACGCTTCCTTCCTTTTCGTTTGCAGGCTGGGATTCTCTGAAAACGGCAAAACGCTGAACCACTGTTTTCCTAAAGAAAACACTGTTTTCCTACCTGTCTAGTTGTCTCTGGCAGTGACTTTTTTTAACCCTCCAGCTTGGGTCTGAACCCTCAGGGAGGTCTGAATACTGCGGAACTCCTTTTGTAGTAAAACCATCTTTTTGGAATAAACTGCTGTATTTATAATACCCTCTTTTTGTTTAGAAAATGAGAGTATTTGTTCTGAAAGGGCCTGATTCAAACCCTAGCATGTCAAGAGAAATTCTCCCTTGAGAATTAATGTGCTGGACGAAGCATGGTTTCTACATGACTGAATTTCAGTTACAGACAGAGCACGATAGTCATGAGAGGCAGAAGCTCATGCTGCATTTTTTGTCCTAGAAGCTTATTAACTGTACAAAGCAATTTATGGAAAAAAAGTCTAGCAAGTCTTACCAAGGTAAGGCATCTAGGCCTGATTGAAGATGAGAAATGCATCTTCAAAGTCAGCTATACTAGTTCGTGTGCTTTAATAGGTGCCTTGGGATTCTTTTTTACTCAAGAGGCAGGCTTTTTTTTTCTTTTTTTTTTTTTTCTTTTAATCGAGTATTATGAGAATTTTGGAAATACATGAGGAAACCCTGTGAATATCGAGTGCTAGCTTGTTAATACTTGTAAGTATCCTGACTTTGCTGCAGGAGAAGGCTGACATTCTTGCCGATATCTTGCCAATAACATTCAGAATTTCAGTAATTTAATTCTGTTTCAAGACAATTCTGAGATTTTTGTATTGATATTCCTCTGGCAGATATTTTGAAAAGCTGGTTTCTTTCTTCAGGAATTAAGTAATGTATATTAAATTTTAATTTAGTTTATATGAAGTTGAAAGAAGTAATAAAAAGTTACTGATGTTTATGAATGGGTCTGCTCTTTTGGATGACAACTCAAGATGGCGTGGATGTTCAGAGACGTGCTAAAAAGGCATGATGACAAAATGGGGATTCTGCAACAGCACACTTGTTTTTTTCCCTAGGTATAAATGTGTCATATCACATAACTACTTAAACAATGATCTCACATTCTTATGGGCTTATGAATATTGTTTGAGGAGAGGTGGCAAAAAGACCCACAAGTTTTAACAACCAGCTATTGCTCCTTCTCACTGTGCTGGAAAATCTTGTTGACTTTGTGCCTATAAACAATGGAGTTACTCAGGTTTTGGTTCTTTTGATGAAAACTAGTATGTGTGGAGCATACATTTAGAGTAGAAAGCCCCTAAAATTGCAAAACAGGTGAAGGGCTCTAATTCATCCAGGAAATCAAACAGCATTCTACTTAGATTCCAGCTCAGTCATGGGGAAAATACAAGCTTATCTTCAGACATACAGTGTCTATTGAGGTAGATTTTTTTTATGCCAGATAAGAGCAATGTAATAAATAGCTGGAAGTTGCTGTTGAAAACACTTAACCCTTTTTTTTGTTGTATCTATCCTCTCCACTTTCCAGTAACATCTGTCGCTTACAATCAGGTATCTTGAGATACGTGACACAAAGGTTTCAAAGTGGTGTTGTGTAGTTCTTGTTGAGTGCATCGATTCTGCAACCCTCTTTATCCATAATCCAGATACTGGCATTTTCATTGCCCTGGTCAAAACTAGACTGCGACTTGACTTCTAAACTTTTAAATAGGCAGTTTATTCATTTGAAATTCATGGTGCAAGTACTAAAAGCTAGAAGTGGGTTTTTGACACAGATTTTCTAAAGGTAAGGCAGAGTTAAATTTGATCTAATCACTCAAAGACTCCATTCCATCCTAAATACACAGTCTCTCATAAACAGTGCCCAGAAGCAAAACAAACCCAAAACAACAGCACAGCAAGGTGATTTCTGTAAGGAATATTAACTGACTTGAAATCTGTATGTACCCAATGGTGATGTCTGGGACGTGACTGACCCTCCAGCTGCAGAATACAGGCTTCATCCCAGCCATAGAAGGAAAATGTGACCTGTGGAGTCTGGATAAAGCTCACACCATGCTGGCAGACAAGAAGCCCTTTTTTGAAAGTCTCCTGAACCTGGAATGCACGCGCTGTCTGCTCAGATTTGCACGTTAAATACCCCGTGGTACTTCTGGAAGAAAGCTGCAGATTGGAGTTCATAGCTGTCTGTTAGTGAGGAGTTGATACTGAAACCTGGAGGTAAGATTGTCAGCAGTTCTTTGCAGTTCTCAAATCAAGGCAGAGTAAATGAGGAGCATGAAAGCCCTAAGACAAAGAAAGGCTCATATCTTTACCCTTAAATAAATAACAGGGTCTCTGGTACACTGGTTGCGTGCATTTTCTTCTCAGTGACCTTTGAACACGTTTAAACCAAATAGCTCACATATATGTGCACATATACTAGCTGTGCATTGAGGAATGTCTTTGAATTCCAGTAGCGTAAGAGGAGTTAACTTTTTTTTTTTTTTTTTTTTTACCTCAGTTAGTTACAAAGAGGAACATGCAGCCTCAACAAACTGACCTTTCCACTAATAACTGACTTTCATCTGCGTAAAAGAAAAATAAAAAATCTGTGTGGAAGTTGTTCTGAGCACATGATACCGACTTGGGAAACTCCAGAATTTCATGATGGATCTAGTCAAATTTCAAAACTTGGCTTTGGTTACAGTCTTTTAGACAGAAGCAGGACTTTTCCATTTAATTCAGCCATTCAGAAGGTTCCAGAACGTGATACTGTGGTGGTGATTGATGTTTTCTGCATGGACTGTGGTTACTATTGGTAATTTGTCTATATAGCTTAGTCCAGGTACACGAAGTTTAGATTTCTTTGCTGTTAAAGGAAACCTATTGCACTTATAGTCTGAATTTGTCTTTCATCCAAAATAATCATAATTATGAAAATAGCTTCAAAGATGCTGTCATATAGGGAGAAGTGTCATTTTTAATGTGTGATCAGAGTGCAAAAGAGATTAAGAGAGCCCAAGTGACTATGAATACTTTTTTTTAAATGAAGCGTTTACAGTTTGCAAGTTTTCAGTTGGCCCGAGATGTTTACAGCTTCAGATGAACCACGACAGCATGGATATAAGCTTGAAAAAATTTCCAAGTCTGGTTAGGTGCTTTTTGAAAGTCCTGGGTTTAAGGTTAATTCTGTTGTTGTTTTTCAACGAAACTAGTCAATAGAGAATATTTGCCAAATTTGAATAAAACAAAAGTGTAACTTTCAAGAATGAATAGTAAATTTAGACAACAGTAGCTGTTACAATGATCTTGAGCTTCATACATCTATTATGCTTTTAATCATTGAGGAATGTGGCTTATCCTGTCCAGTAGCAGGCCTGAAGGAGGATAACGTAAGGAGTTAATTCTGTGGAATTTCTGAGCCTATTTTCCATTTGAGCAGTACTGAAATTGCTTGGAAATGGAATGCAACCATTCCCCTGCCTTGGCCTCAATCTTTGAATACGTATCCATTTCTTCTTTAGCTATATTTTCCATGCTTCGTTCTAAAATTATATTTACGTGGGAACTGTGGTAGGTTAGCAGAACTTATCCAAGTATGCATCAGTGTCCAAATGCTGCTCTTACAACAGTAACCTCAGTCCTCCTTCATCCATCTCTCTCTTGCCAGTTCAGTAATTGCTGTACAAAGGGAAAGCAGAAGAGAGCTGTAGATTCAGAAAGCACAAGGTAAATATGCAGCAGAAGTTTGCACGTGCAGGATCTGCCTTGCTTTCAGTTATGTCCACACAGAACAGACACAGCGAGAGAAACTGATGTCATTTATTGCTTTTCAAAGCGCACCTAAAACATTGTGTTCTTCAGCCAGTCTTCACAGAAATGATTTTCTCAACAGCATACAGGCTACAGAGATAAGGATAAAGACAATGAAGAAGGTAGCTAAACTTATTTACCTTCAATTAAACTACAAGATTTACAATCTGATAACAGTCTAGTACTAGTAGTACTGATAACAGTTCTAGTAGCTGGCAGAAATGGAAAAAATTCCTTTGAAGATTACGAGAACTAACAAGGTTACCAGAATCTCTTGTTTACACTTCACGCACAGAGACATTGTGCAACGTTTCATTATATTCGCCAAAGCAAATCAGGAGGGTAAGGGTGGGGGTGGGGGTGGGAAAGAAAGACCATATAAAGGGAAATTGCATGTACCCGTTCTCTGTTTCACGCTTTCCACGAGGTTCGTGAATGCAGAATGAAGCT